ACAATGTTTTTTTTTTCAACATTGCAGTATGATTTTCGCTTTCTTTCCCCCTTTCTCTTTCTCTGGGTCACTCTCTCCTTTTTCCCTCACTCTCACCGGAATTGATCGAGTATGCCTTTTCAATCCATCTCTCCTTTGCCTGTCGCCTAGCAACCGGTGCTTTCTCGGCTGTGGAGGCTGGGAGTGTTTTTTCCTCTCTATTTCTCTCTCCCTCTAAAGCCTTTATTGAAAGCTGAAGGTGCGCGCACACACGCGCGTACACAGATATTGATGACTCTAAATTCACTGCTCTACCAGGAGTTATTACATACTATAAATGAAAACAATTTGCAGCAGGTACAGTATGTTGACTTTGCATAACAGCATGCTGAATGTGATTCTTTCTAGACAAGAAAAAAGTTCTGGGCTTTGACAATTAAAGACTTTTACAATTAACTAAAGTTATAAATTGTTTTAAGCTCGTTCGAAAGTTAAACAGACGACTAAGATGACAAAAACAGCTAAATAACATGAATATGATTATACAACATAATTTAAATATATAGCATGAATAAAACGACATAAATATAAGGTGATAATATTTAACTATATAATAATGAGTAAAATAATTTAAAACACCAATCGGGTGTTAAGGAATTTAACTTTTATTGATCACTGATAATAGCCTATTTAATTATTATGTTGATATGAATATTTTTAATTATCATTGATGTAATTAAAACTGTAAACAATAATGTAAATTGTGTCTAACAATAACTTTTGATATAGGCCTACATTTGGCCTATATGAGCTTTAAACTACGAAATTAAAAAGGGTTACATTTCGTATTAAGGATTTGTTTTCCCCTTTAGCTGCATAGCAAAAGGATACACATGCCAGTCTTTGTGACAAAGTTGGTAATTTACAATCTGACTACAAATGTTAATATAGACAAAGCAAAATATCCGACAGACATGTCTCATGATTTGCGATTCTTTTATTACTTCACATCCTGCAGACTCACTGTAAAGTAATAAATCCGAGGGTAGACTTAAAGTAAAGTAGGCCTATGACATATGTGGAAACAGGCTACAATAATCAAAATATTCGATCATATTTAAATGACTCTGGTCATTAAATGATGATAAGACCGAGCATGCAGAAACCTTTTTAATATTTCGTGTTCATCTGTAGCCTACAATAAAGATATAATACAATTCAGAAAATAGAAAAATAAAATGCGATATAAATCAGCTTTAATATATAATAACTGAAGCGTCTATCAGTAGGCCTTCACGAAAAAAAGTATCAGGTCAAATAATAATTATTTTAAATTCATGCCACACACATTTGTAAAAACGTATAATGTTTATCTTTTGATTAGCACCAGGCCCAAAATTAAACGTGTTTTGTGTAAATCTTTAACAGACAAACTTTGTGATATTGTATATAGGCCTAAGCACTATTGCTATATCTATAGCACTATATAATTTTTAAATGCAATAGGATATAAAATAGCTTACTTAATATCAAATATTACTTAAATTATTTTAAAAATGTGAAAAATCGCACATCGAAAATGCTGAAACATCAAATGTTGAACAAAACATTTTTTTACTATTTATAAAAACCTAATTGTTTTAAATGCGGCGTTTGGCTTAGACTTAGTATTTTCTGATGAAGGCTTTTAAATCAGGTCCCTGAGAATTCTGCCATACCAATCGATCAGAATGCGGATATATCGATCAGAGACCAGAGCCATAGATCACATGCTCTCTTTCACAAAGCATTTTCAAATACACAGGTCTCTAAATATACGAAACACACTGACAATCCGTTTCCACGCAGAGAAAGGCTGAGCCTCAGAAAAGCATTTGCAGTTTTAAACCCTTTTCAAAACGAACCAAATGTTGTAGGAAAATGTGTTTAAGGGTCATTAATAATAATTTAACAATATAAATATTTTTCTCTGATGCATTAAACAAACAAATACACAAATACGAAAATCAAAAAGATATAAAAACAAGAGGGTCCACCAACAAAGTTATTATTTTAATTTCACGACCTCCTTGCTGTGTATAACACCGAGATATTTGTAATTAAAAATATATAAAGACAGTATTTCAGAGTTTAAATTAACTCAAAAATAGTATTTATACAAGTAATAATATTAATAATAATTATACAAGTAATTTGGCATAAAATTAACAACCATTTCATGAATAAATAGTTTCAGACCTATACTAAGAAATTATGGCTTCCATAAAAAACTTGTTTATAACTCATGGAATTTAAAGATTTTAAATGTTTTGTCATAGACAAATGTCAACGACAAAAGTTTCTTTATCAAACATCGATTATTCACTATACGTGGAATAATACGGTGAAAAGCTAAATTTTGAATACTTCGTTATCTGAGGGGAAAATAAATTTCAAGTCTCACTTAAGTCCATGCTGCAATGGTCAGTTCAACAGGACTGCTTGACTTCTGCCAATAAACCGATTCAGGTAAATTTACTTTAGGGTGTGATCGATCAGGCAAGTGATACTACTAATGCAGTCAAGCAAATTTGAGTCTATCTTTGTCACACTATGTGTGATCAAACTGATCAAACCCATAGAAAGAATAAAGCGATCGTTAATGAGCATTAAACAGCTGCAGCAGCAGTACGCATTTAGCTTTTTTTTCGAATGACGAGTTTGAAACCATGTACATAAGAAAACAAAAAAGTACATTTTTTAGATATAAAACCATTTATTTAAAGACAAATCTCATGATAGACAGTTTAAAATAAGGTTCAGAATTTTTCTAAAGTTTATTTGAAGTTCGGTAAATTAACTTTTTAATTAGCTTTTTATATTGTTCTTTGAAGAGCTATTTCAGGATATTTCGTTACTGGATAGATTATTGAAAGCTTGTTACTATTTAGAATAGAAACACGATCATTTGTGATCTGAATGTTTTTAAATATTTGTAATGTTTATGTGACTTTTACAATAAATACAAATATACTGTATTATAGTTCAAGACACATTTATTAAGCAATTGTGTTCGCAGACTTACTTTCCTTAGATATCCAAAATAAAATATTGAATCTCTATGGCTTTCCTAGTCTCTATTTGGATATCGACAGCTTTAATATTTCATACTATGTAAGCCACAGGGTACGTCTAGTTTATTTGAATATTCGAGCGAAAATTAAATCAGGGTCTGCTCTCTAATAATTTATGCTGCAACTACAATCTTACATTATAAGCTCCAAGACATTGTTCAGACAATCAAAACACTATTAGAGACAAACTTTTCCCCCCCATACGAATGTTAAATATGCAATAGCAAACCTCTCGACCCACACAGGCCCACACAAATAATTACAATTAGAAAAACTGCATAAAATTATGCGATTTTAAAACAAAGGCAATGTGTTTCTTGATGTAGCATTTTGTATTTTAACAATATATCGGAAAAACAAATAAGGTTTTTTAAGCTACTGAAAATATTTCGATCAAATTATCAAAAGTATCAATGCACATCATTTTTATTCCTATACTATAACTTTTTAATTTTTATTTTTAGTTACCCTTAGCAAATATAGTAACTTGTTAAAAAATCGACAGGTATGCCTGGACTAATAAGCTGTGCGCCAATCACATAAATGAAAGGAAATGCCCAAAACTTGTAACAAAACTGACTGTAGAATCTTCTCCCCAAACGAATCAGCTGTTACCGCTCATCTCCACATTAAACCGCATTCAATTATCCTGTCATAGCAGAGCATGATTTTGTAAATAGCAAGGAACAAATCAATGCAATAATCAATTGTGGTTGTGTCCAGATATATGAGCCTGAAATATCCGAACCATTTTTTGTCTTGTATAGCACATACGGCCGCCACATAACATTATTATCCTATCTCTGACTTTATCTAATATAATCTGGATGTTTGGAATTATTATACTGTGCAATAGTATAGTGAACATTAGACTTAATACTACCCTGGCGCACACTTACAATCTACCTGTAATAAACACAGGTATACTTGAGTTTATGAGTGTATAGAAACTGCGATGAGGCCGTGAATTAATTTCTGCAAGACTGCAGCAAACCAGTTAGATTTGTGAGCGGCCTAATTCATTTTCAATAACACTGATTGCAAGGATCAATAAGGAAACAGCAATCCCAACGGACAAGGCTGTTTTTTTTTTACTGTCATTGTCCTATTCATCATTATAATACAATTAAAAGTAGTATTTGCAGTGAGGTTAAGGTAACTATGATACAACTTGTATTTGTACCTCAGTTTGTCGCTTTTTACACACGATTAACATCAAGTGAAATATACGAGCGAAATTTTTCGGCATATAAAATATCGAATATTTTATTCCGTTTAATTTATTGATGGTAATAATTATAGTCAAATAAATTAGTGGGTGTATGATAGTCAATGACAATGGAAATATGCATGTTCTTTGGGAAAACAAATACATTACATTTATGACCCATTCCATTCCGGAAGATCAATTTATTGATCAGCGACTGAGTGCATTAATAATAAGCTGAACCGGAAGTGATCATCTGAAAAAAGGGCAAGCGTTGTCACGTTCACTTCATTAAATGAATTTAATTGTGTGAACCATTATTTCAGAAAAGAATATACGCGTATTACGCATAAATTGTTTGTTATAGAAATCTATTTACTTTGGCTGTAAAAAAAGGAGGCTAAATTGCGTATAAGGCGGCCTGTAATAGTTTGATGCTTGAAAAAGTAAATACCCAAGTCTGAAGTGCAAAGACAGTCCTACGTAAACCAATAAATGTATTTGCATGCTATATCAGTACACAACTATCATGTAAATGCAAATAATATTCTTTGACACACACACACACACACACACACACACACACACACACACACACACACACACACACATATATATATATATATATATATATATATATATATATGTGTGTGTGTGTGTGTGTGTGTGTGTGTGTGTGTGTGTTTATTTTTCCACTGTTAAAATTGTTGCGTTAATTACATCACATAAGTTTCTGCCACAACATAAAACAGTATAAAACTGCAAATTGCCCCTTTGGTTAGATAATGCAATTTCGTTAAACTTTTAAAAGATTAACACAAATATGATATGATTAATCATGTGATCTCATGTCGTTCAAAAGGAATTTGACTATCTTATCTACTTGGGGTTTGGGAAATCCATTAATATTTAACCATTAAGATGTCGCTCGCTGGCGCCAAGTTAAGCAACTTTATCAGGAGAAACCGATGAATCATGTCCATAAAGGAATCCCCAATAATTCAAAATAACACTGTTGGTGTCAAAGTGTGTAGATGTCACCCCCATATAAGTGTAAAACTTGATTACGTTGTCTTGTTTAAAGACCGAAGAGGGCGAGCAGTGAGAATAAGTAAATCATCTAGGTGCCTCTCGTCTATTCAACAGACAGTATTGGTGACGTCAATAGAGTCTGCAACAGTGAGTGTACACCCTTTAAATAGTCCATGGATCTTGAAGTTTCACAGCGATTTTCTATTCACTAGTTCTTTACAACAGCCGTATAGTAATCCTATAATGGTGCTTTAAACTGCCTAGAAACCCATAGGCTGAAGATTCTTTAAAATAAATAAAGATTTTTTTTGATATTTCAGATTAAAGAACCACCATTTGTTGTGAACAGAGAATGAGGCGCTTTCCTGAACTCAAGAAACACAGAAGAACGTTTATGCTGTCCGGTGCGCGTGCCCGTACACTCAGGCACAACACATCTTAATATATTGCGCGGTCACGAGGCAGACACTCTCACTCGGTCAGCTTCGACTGTCAGTAGTAAGACGCGCGCCACGGCGATAGATACAAGCGTTTAGACACCAGGCGTACGTACATGTGCGTGGTGAAATGCTGGATTGACTAACACTGAAGATCTCGGGATCAATGGCGCGCGGCTTTGAGATCGTTTAAAATTTATTGGAAGGGAGAGTGTGAGAGAGAAAGGAAAGAGAGAGAGGGAAAACAGTGTCTTTCAACAATGGAACTTACAATGGAAAACATTGGGAATTTGCACGGCGTCTCACACTCCCATCAAACGGGAGACTTGATGAACTCTCCTCACGCGCGACAGTCGGCGACACATAGGAACTTGGTATCATCGCACGGGAGGTCAGCGATGGTGTCCAGCATGGCCTCGATACTGGACGGGGCCGGGGAGTATCGCACGGACCATTCGTTGTCCGGTCCTCTCCATCCAGCGATGACCATGTCGTGCGATTCGAGCATGAGTCTGAGCAGCACTTACACCACCCTGACGCCGTTGCAGCACCATTTGCCTCCCATATCCAACGTCTCAGATAAATTTCACCATCATCCGCACCCTCACGCTCATCACCACCCCGCGCACCAGCGTCTCGCAGCCGGGAACGTCAGCGGCAGCTTTACGCTGATGCGTGATGACCGGGGCCTCGCGTCTATGAGCAACCTATACGGCCACTACTCCAAAGATTTGTCCGGGATGGGACCACCTTTGTCACCTCTTTCCAACGGCCTTGGGTCTTTGCACAACTCTCAACAAACTCTAAGTGCGTACGGTCCGAGTGCTCACCTGGGGAATGACAAGATGATTTCCTCGGGGGGCTTCGAGTCCCATGCTGCGATGCTCGGACGGGGCGAGGAGCACCTGGCGCGGGGTTTAGGGGGACATGGAGCGGGTATCATGTCTTCTCTCAACGGCATCAATCACCACCACCACCACAGTCACTCGCACTCTCAGGCGAATGGTTCGGTGCTCTCGGAGCGGGACAGGCAGGCAGGAGCCGGCGGACAGGGTGGTGGGTCGGGTCAAGTAGAGGAGATCAACACCAAAGAGGTGGCTCAGCGAATAACGGCGGAGTTAAAGAGGTACAGCATTCCACAGGCCATCTTTGCCCAAAGGATCTTGTGTCGCTCTCAAGGAACTCTGTCGGATCTCCTGCGGAATCCAAAACCCTGGAGTAAACTCAAGTCAGGTCGGGAGACGTTCAGACGGATGTGGAAGTGGCTACAAGAACCAGAGTTCCAGCGCATGTCGGCCCTTAGGCTCGCAGGTGAGTGAAGGTCACTTGAGTTTCCTTTTGCAAAAAAAGGAAATCAAAACAGTCACATTTATATATATATATATATATATATATATATATATATATATATATATATATATATATATATATATATATATATATATATATGTGTGTGTGTGTGTGTGTGTGTGTGTGTGTGTGTGTGTGTGTGTGTGTGTGTGTGTGTGTGTGTGTGTGTGTATTACTTGTATTTCATTTTTTCCAGTAATGAAATTAATGCAATGTAAGGACCCAGACATTTGTGTTGTTAATATGTGCTTGCTTTCTGAGAGATGTAGGTGAGATGACTGCTCTTATTACGATACAACATACTTTGAATCAAACAGAAAAGAAGTTGGACAAGTTCATCTTTTAATGAACTACAACAACTAATCTGAATTATATTGTATTTATTTTGTATTTTTCAATTATTACAAGATGTAAAAGATTTGAAAATGGTGAGCTCAGTTGAAATACTTTAAAAGTTAACACACACCACCTGCGGCCTGTAGAATGTTATGGTTTGTGAAAAGGCTTTAAGGTGGCCTATTTTTTTAATAAAGTGACATGTAAATGTTAAAATAAGCTTTACTTTACGAAACAATTATTTTTAAAAAGCTTGACTCAATTGACGTCTACGACAATAACGAACATTAGTTAAACCTCACCACATGGCAATATTTGTTTTAAGAAAAGTCCGCTTTTCATTTTACGTCAAATATCCCAGATTAATTTTAAAACAATGAACTCAAAATGTTTAAATGAAAATAAAGTATAGCAGAACATTTTAATTAAACTGTGTGTACATAACATTACCTTTAGAGAGGCCGCTGACCCGTCCAAACCTATCGCCTCGCGTCGTATTTCAGTTGTTGGTTCAATTAACCAGGATATAGTGGCATATTTTAGTTCCAGTCAATGCCCCGTTGAAAAGCACTTAATGGAATGTAAATTGTTCCTTTGCGCATTTAAAGTTGTTCTGGTAAATAAAGATTTAAACGCCATCCAATTGTCCTCTTAAGTGCCGCTGCTGTTAAAGCTAATTGAGCATCGAGATTTTTTTTCTTCTACATCCTATTAAAAGCACCCTAAAAGCAAGACGAACTCCACTGCTACAGGTAACAGACAAAGTAACTTAATGTTTTTTCGGATAAACTTTTTGTGCAGGCCTTTCACTTACACGAACAGTGTGACCTCTAATGTTTTAAGATTATACATGGATATAATTATAATAAAAATATAATAATAATACATTTTTAGATGAATAACATTTTCAAAATACAATTCTACGAACGTTTTTGCTTTTATCAAATGAGTTATATGTAATTTAATATTGCAGAAAAACTAACTTGAAAAATCCTTGCATTCTTTAAATAAAAAAACAGACTATTTAAAAAGCTCCCACACGTTCAGTACCTATAGTAAATTTGGCTCAGTGAGAAATTACTGTAGTATGCAAATAACAATAGCAAGTGCATTTAAATGAGCCATTATGCACTGCGCACATGTAGAAGTTGGGGGTTGTGTTTCATAGAGAGTCTGGGAATACTCGTTCACTACATCAATCAATAAATTCAAATTACTATTCCAAATTCATCACAGTCACAAAAATCAATGCCGTGGCACTGCTTGGCTAATGTGAAAATGCCCGTTTCTGTGGGATCATTTTGTGTTCTCCTTAACGCTGAAGCGTTTTTTTTAAGTTAACAACAAACAAAACATTTTACAACGGTTAATAAAAAAAGAGCTATAAATGCAGAATATACAAGACATAAAAACAAACACTTTTGTCAGAAAAAATGCACCTCAATTAATGTGCAATGCGCAATGTTTAAAGATTGCCTTAACGATGAAAAACAATTCGTCTCAGCATCTGTGCTGTATTCCACACTCCATCTCAATGTATTTGGCCCAATCAATACAGCGATCAATAAAGATAGCCAGTACATCTATCAATTATACCGGCTCAGCACTCTCTCTCATTGGACTCTGGATTTACCTACCGTTTCGTTTAGAAGATAGGATGTAGATTTTAGCCAACTGTGTATGGTTTCTAATCTTGAACGTGAAAGAAGAAAAGGATACGATTATTTGTGTATAGCCGCAGTGTACCACAACAAAATAATTAATTTTTAATTCCATTAGGATACACGAAATGTGAACAAAGTACACTCGAAATCTTATTTAAAATGAACTGAAACAACACAATTCTTGAGATTTCATTGGGACAACTTAATGTTTTATATTCAATCCACATACATTTGTTATAAGGGTTAAGTTAACTTAATCGACTTGTGTTGGGTCAACATAAATGAACCGTGTGGAGGCTCAGCCTCTAAATTGACAATCATGTGAGAATTAGACCCACCACCTACCCAGGTGGGGTTTGTGTTTCTAAAACCACTTGAGCATCTTTGTTAAACTTTATAGATAAGCAGTGCTCTCCTGCAGGAAACTGAGGGCAAATAATCAATTTAGAAATAGTACTACAAATAATATACACACTTTAACACGTTTTAAGTGTGTTTGCTTTCCCTCAACATAATCATCATCATCGCCTTCCTCATCAAAATGACTTCCAGTCTCGCCTCCAGTTCCCAGCCCACGAGGATGGACACAATTGATTTAGGATTAGCGAATCGAGGCATTTTCAGGGGAGACGGGGTTTGGCAGGCCAAGAAAATGATCGATGCTGACCTTAATAATTGATAGAGCCAGAAGTGAAAAATGAAGATGCGGTCACCTGTTTGGTAAACACATACATGTAAGCCATTTGAAAACACGATTATTTCAGGGGTTTCAAAGAAAATCTTATACTCAAAAGCAAATTACTTGATCAGGCCTCGATTTGTTTGTATGTGCTATGTGACATCAACAGCCTCGCATAGTTAGGGTCCATATAACAAGCAGTAAATTTGTATTGATTTCAATGGCACGGCTTGCTATTTTAATAGCTTGAGTTGATGTAAAAGGCAGAAAGTTTACATCTGTCCCTTCCCCCTTTGGCCTACTTGAACGCTTTAAAGTTATAGTAAGGGTATCCATATTGTGTGCTTAGTTTAATTAGCTACGTTCAGAGGGTCGAATTTTATAAGAATGCACCTGTGAAATAATAGGCCAACATGCTCACCAATTTAAGCATATAATTTAGGATAGCCCATTATTTACAAAATAACACGAATGCTTTTGCGATTTTTGGGCAGCCTGTATACATAATACTAACTAGCCCAATGTACAGTATATTTCTACATATGTCGGGAGAAGGTAAACTTTCGATTCTAAAGGCCATTATTACAGACAACGTAGGCTAAATTACTTTATATATTAATACAGGCAATAATTACAGCACCTTACCGTTCCCTAAAATAACTGATGACAAAGTAAAAGATGTACGCGACACCATAAGCTAACATTGTTGAAGTTTAATGCGTGCAGTGCCGTCTCCGCAAGCTTAGATTTTCATGATCAATCTCTGAGCTCGCCCGCCAAAATGGATCGATAGGAGAGAGTGACCTTTAAATCAAATTGCTAAGAGACCGTGCCGCCTAGGAGGAGAGCATCAAAGGGTTAAATTGCATTGCGTCACCACTAAATTTTGTACCAAGGGGGATTTAATAATTTTTACATAGCTGATATTACAGCATAACGCCTCCGAATCGTTAGAGTCACGGCACAAAGCACTTGGGCACGTTGAAAATATACTTCAGTGTTTTAGTTGATGCATCTTAAAAGGTAGCTAAAATGTATACATTTTCCATGTTCTCTGTATAAATAAATACTTGGTGGGCTAATGTTAAAAAACTCATGTGAAATAAATTAAACAGAGGTTAAATTAATTTACATCACAATTCTGCATAATGTAATACAGTATATGTGAATTGTCTATGTCCTGGCAAATAATAATTTTTAAAACATATTTTCATTCTTAAATAATGTTCATATATTCATAAAATATTCATGCATTTTACATACAAAATATAACTTGTTTTTTATTTAGTAATCCATATTTAAAACAAATACAAAATAACACCACAACCACATTCAAGCTAGACACTGTGGTCAGATTTAAACCCCTCTCCCTCGAGAGGCTGAGAGACTGATGGGTGTTTGACACATCTTGAGGCAACAAGAGCCATTTACAGAGCAGTGACTCTATTGGTGTGCTATTACACCATTTACAGACTGACTGAACCCGCAATCTAGTAACCACCTGTAACAACTTTGAACCCCTGAGCTCATCATCATTTAGCAGCACAGCATCATCGAGAGTTATAGTTTGTCAGCATTTAAAATACTCTGTGAAGTTGGTTTTTATGAGATTCATATGTTGGCAAATTTAAAAGCAATATCTTAGTTGCATGGATTTTCCAGATTAGATCACCGGCGATTTTCTGCCAGCAGTTGGGGAACTGCTTTTTTGGTTTTGTCTGCAATCTTTATTCTAAAATTAGTGTAGTTGTGCAAACTCAATGACAGCTTAGGCTCACTTAAGAAATGAAAGTTATTGATCAATCCTGTGGTATTTTCAGAGGTCTTAAATGGTCTTTCAAGACTTTGTGCATGGATGTTTGGTCCCTCAACCCTTTAGACCTCTTAAACTCACTTCACTGTAATTACAGGTCAAGCAGTCTTTACAACCAAACACATGCCGATGTGTCGATATGCCTATATAGAGTGGATGTTTAACTTAAACAACTCTTTTATTAGACCGTTCAACTATTGATCTCTCCACAATAGTCATGTGCTATCATTGTGCCAGTAATAATTAAATGCGTTTAAGCAATCCTTCCTTTTCCAAACAAAAGTTTTGAGAACCTGGTTGTACAGTAGTCAGTCCACAGAGTTGGCCCTTTACCTTGTCCACCTTCCTTCTCCGTGGCTCACTCAGCAGAATTGGCCCCTGTCAAAACATCGACCTTTGAGACGATTAGCACCAAGTAACGCTGATAAAAACAGTGGACATCCAATAAATCAAATCAGAGAGAGAAAGA